TTTGAGTAGAAGAGATGCCAGGTATGAAGCTAATGGAGACATTGCCAACTTAGTTAACATCAATGGTGAAACAGCTTGTGAAAGTATCATCACAGCAGAGATGTAATTAGATTAAGATATTTTTCAAATGTCTTAGTTATCATTCTAACACATAATAGCTGAGCTCATTGAAATTTTGGATGATCTTAATCTTTATTAAAATATTTCTAAAATTAGTGTCTACTCTCATAATTTCATGAAAGTTTTATTAGTCTTCGAACACAATCACTTAAAAAAAATCCACTCTCATAAATTATTAGGAAAATAAAAGATATCACCATGAAGGATTGAGTGATCACTTTAAAATATATTCACAAAAAAGCCAACAAATATGTTGATCTACTTGCCCACATATTCCAAGGTAACTTCGATGTTATTATTTTAGATTGTCTACCACTTGATCATAAAAATCTTATAATTTTAAACATGATTTGATTTATGACTCTTTGTATGGTTTTTTATGGCTTTATATTAAAAAAACCCTACTCGTTGAAACTAGCTAGCTTAGATTAAGTAAGTTTGAGTTGTAACATATTAGATAAAAATTTAAATTTTAAATGTCCTAATATACTAATATGGAAAAAGAATATCAGAGTTCAAATAATTGTTGCTTGTTTTTTTAGCCAAAAAAATCATTAATGTTACTTGTTCTGGCAATATACATAGGAATTAGGGTATATCATATTGTAAGTGAGAGATAAAGGAAAAAATTATTGCAGATACAAATGAATAGACCAATTGGATATGATATTCATAGCCATCTACGTCACTCTCCTTCCCATATATCACTATAATGTTAAAATAGAAAATATCAGGGTTTAAAATTTACCATCTGTCGATCTCGATGAGTTTATTGCAACGTTTCTGTCGGTGTGCTACCATGCAAGTTTATGTCATCTTCGCACTAATAACTAATGATTTAAGAAATGCAATCCAAAATATTTTACATCCATGCCCTGTAACGTACGTACTATACACTATATTAATTGAGCTAGTGTTTATCATTAATTTTCTGAGGTATATTAATGGAGGACAGACTCAGCTTAAAATAATATATATTCTCATATTTTGCCCAAAAAAATAATATTCTCATATAATTTTAAAATACATTTTTAATCAAATTAAATAAATCAATATCAATACTAGTAACAATAACTATCACGTGCTGGTACACAATTCTGAACTCCTTTACCTCAGAGAAATTAAATTCATTGTATTCAACCTCTAAGAACTCAGCAATTAGTGATCTCGAATCTTCACTAAATATAATCTCTGGTGTAAAAAAAAAAAAAAAATCTTCACTAGATATAATCACTGAAGTTTCTCATCCTTTTCCGCTCGTTTTGTTTTATGTCAATACTATAGATGGCAACAATCACACAATAAAATCATTTAAAACTGCATGTGAACAAATTAATGTTGGTCCTGTTAGTAATAAAGATATGACCCATACCTCAATAATTTGAGTCCCTAAGTGATTTAAATTCACTTATTTAATGAGTGTTTGATAAAATATCAAATGATTATAAGAGATTTTATCATATAATATTTATAAAATATTAAATTTTGAATTTTTGGAGACGATAATGTATGTAAAGAATATTGTAACTGTTGTAATTGTTTTAAATTTTTTAAAGTAAATGCATCTTGATAATTTTAAAATATTGATGAAATTTAATGATTGTAACTGAGATACTCATTAAATAAATGGATTTAAGCCATTAACTGAATTCAAATTCAATGTGGTGAGTTCAAATTTTACTATTGATTGATGTAAAAACTTTGTTGATAAACAGCTTATTCCTATGAGGATTTTTTTAAGTTTAGAGGCATACTCTGATTTTAATGAGTTTGAGATTCAACTCATTTAAATTTTTGTTGATAAAAAAAATCATTTAAAACGGTCTATCTATAAGCACATGTTTGGAGAAGACTAAAACATTTTATTTTTTTTTTTAAAAGAAGAAGAAGACACGTAATTGGGATTGAACAGTTTAAGAATGGGCAAGAGTAGTCGGCTTGATTAGGGGGGTTAATTTTCAATCTGAATATAATGACATTGAAGTGAAAAGGACGCTCATCAAGGGAGGAAAAACGGAGAGCGATGTGTGAATGAATGTGGAGATATTGAGATAAGTGTGAAGGTAGGCAGATACAAGTAATGAAATGAAAGGCAGTAAATAGTTTGATCATGTCCACTTATTATTATATCAAAGTAGCTGCCAACCAAATCAGACTCTCTCGCCCATTTATCATTGCCTTTTAGACTAACCACAATGTCTCTGCCATTCCCACTTCTTCCTCTAAAAATCCACAGTTAAATTATGTAACGTGAGTTTTTAAAACGATACACTTGCATGCCCTTCTTGCATATTTATATCATTCTTATCATAGTATACAAATTATGCGTGTGAGACAATAGATAAAATTTTTTAACCAATCTTGATTAAATTGAATGCCATAGCCTTGATTTTTTTTTAATTAAGGCCAAAAGTATCCTTCCAAAATGTAACGCATTTTGCATTTTTCAAGTTGCAATTGATAATATTTTTCCAAAGATACTCTTAACAAGGGGTATGATTAATTAATGTTTTAAATTGAGATATCATATTAGATGAGTGTAGATATGAAAAGAACATGTAATTTAAAAAAGGTTAAAGTATATATTTAGTCATTTAACTTTACATAATTTTTTATTTTAATCCTTAACTTTATAAAGTGTCTTTTTAGTCCTTCAACCATAATACTGTTAGTTTTATTTTAATAAATTTTTTACATTAAACTTTTAAATATTAATAAAATATTATAAAATATTAACATATTAAGTTTAATTTTTTTAAAATAATAATGATTTATAAAAAAAATATTTAAAACTAATGATATTAGGGTTAGAAGACTAAAAAAATACTTTACAAAATTAAAAAATTAAATTAAAACCTTATATAAAATTAAAAAAAATAAAAATATACTTTAACCTCTAAAAAACAATTAACTAACCAAATTGTTAAAAGTGTAATTTATCTAAAGTGTCTTATAATATTGAATAGAAAGAGTATTACATTCTGTTTTGTATATAATTCATCAAAATCATGATAATTTAGATGAAATTATATAAAATTATCTTAAAATTGAATGACTTTTCAGTTTTCCCTCACAAACATTTTTTTCAAGTACTCTACTTTCATATTACATTAGAGTGTTCTTAGAGTGCGTTTTTGAAATAAATGATTCAGTGTTATATAAAACAAAAAAATATATTAAAAACCATGGCCTTTTTACCCTAAAAATTAAACTTGCCAAATTTATAGGAAAAAGGTGAGTATCAAATACTTCTTAGTGTAATTATGGAGGAAAAAAACTTATATACTTACTCTTATATACTTAATGTGTTTGTTTTTAATTAAATTAAGACATATAAATTTTTTATAGATTATTTATTCTATAAAAAAAATCTTGTTATTAATATTATAAACATATTAAAATTTATTTATTTTAATTAAATAAAAATATATTAAGTATACAAAAATAAGTAGCTAGATTATATTTCCATGGAATTACATTGATAAATGTAAGGTAGTCTCAGAGAAGCAGCCTTTTAGTTTCTTTCGCCAAAATTTGGTCTTCAACCCACCCTACATGATTAAAAATACACCTACAGTCGCATCATAAATTGAATTGTTGGAAAATGCATGTGTATATCACTCCGCTTTTATGTTATTTGTAGGTAATACCTATTTATTATGTTGATAAAAATATACCTATTTATTATACCTATTGCTTCCTAAATTATATTTTAAACTGAAACTATTGTATCGAAATATAAAAACTTATTTGCACTTTTATAAAATTAGTTGACCAGATCAGTGTTGCCATTAATGCGTACATTTATCGTATGTCGGTCAGGTCACAAATGTATTAATATTAGTGTTTCTTTTAGTTTTTTAAGTACGCTTTCCATTTTTATATACATATATATAAAAACTACATTATCCAATTTAAAAAAATTAATTAATTATAATAATTATATTTAAAAATAAAAAAATTAGATTAAAATGTTTTATATAAATCAACATAAGTATGTATTAATTATTTTTTTATTAATATAAATTGCGAGAGGTAATTTAAAAAATGTATAATAAATTTTTATTGAAATTAATAATTTTAATTATATAAAAAAATAAAAAGTGATAGTTTTTTTAACAGTAAAAAACGGAGGGAGTATGCAACAAACTTAAACTATATCTGATATCGTGTGAAAGCGTTCTTCCTGAATAAAAATGTAGGGCTTATTTAATTATTAGAATAATTGTTTATTCTCCAAAATAAAAAAAATATGTTTAGTAACTTATTTTTAGAAAATATTTTGAAGAATAAAAAATTAAATATTATTCTAAAAAATAAAACAGTGAAAATATTTTTTAAGTGTTTTGATATTATTATTTTAAAAAATAAAGAAAAATGCGAAAAACGAATATTTTTATTATTTTTATTTTCAAAACATATTTTATAAAATATCAATTTTTAAAATAATAAAATAAAAATAATTTCAAACAAGTCTTTGTATTTTTTTAACATCATTCTCGATAAAATTTTGACAAGTTGGAGTATCGTATAAGATTATATTATTGCATGTTTGTATTTAAGTCTGACAGAGGAAACTGCCAATTTTATAAAGATATATGCATATTCTATTGCAACGAAACTGAAGCAAAAGATTAATCAAGAAACAAAGCTAATAATATGATTAAATTTCATTTTAAGTAACCTCCTGTTAAGCAACAAAGCACATCATATGTTGATAATATGTGTAACGTTTGCAAAAAGTATGGTGTTTGGTGTTGACAAAAACTTTTTCCTTATTTTCTTATCGATATTTTAATTCCACACAGAGGACCTACAAATCTTGAAACCGAACCCATCTCAATCATGTTCTGTTATTTCAAGCTACAACTAGCAGAGAAAATCAACAAGGCCTTCTCATATCTGCGAGACAGCCAAATTTAAAACCTGTCGGAGTTGCATAAAATAAAAGAATTGAAACAAGAACAGCCCCTTTTGACTTCTGCGTCCAACATTCAGTACCATCTTTCCTTCCTTGATTCTTCCTGGCCAAATCTTCACCGAGAGTCAAGTTCCTGTCACCCTTTTGTCTTCTTCCTCGGATTCTTTATACTCGTTTTGAACCGCTCTGCTTCTTACTCTTCCATGTGAGCTCCTTCTCCTCTTCATACTTCAAGCTCCAAAACTTTCCTTCCATGGCGCCTCAAATGCTTGTTCTATCTTTGATCCTTCTTGTTTTCCTTCTTCCTTCTTCTTTTTCTTTCACTCCTGTGGATAATTATCTACTCAATTGTGGATCACATGCCAATGCATCACTCTTCAACCAAATCTTCATGGGCGATTCCACGAAACCCGGTTCGGATTTTCTTGCTGTGGGAAAATATATTACGCTAGCAAGCCAAAATCCACCTGCGAATTCTCCCACTCTGTATCACACGGCCAGAGTTTTCACGAGCACGGGGAGCTACAGGTTCCGTATGAAGAGTAACGGTACCCATTTGGTACGTTTTCATTTCTCGCCCTTTTCAGCTCAAGGATTTGATTTAAAATCCGCCAAATTTAATGTTCTGGTTGGTGGGAATACGCTTCTGAGAGCGTTTCAGTTGCGCAATGGCACGTTGATTAAGGAGTATATATTGAAGATAGAATCAAATCTGCTCGAAATAGAGTTTGAACCTCTGGGTGATTCGGGTTTTGGGTTTGTGAACGCTTTGGAGGTATTTACAGCTCCTGTGGACTTCATTCTGGATTATGGAGCCAGGTTAGTGGGCTCTTCTGGAGTGGAAGAGTACAGGAACCTTTCATCTCAGGTTTTAGAGACTGTTTACAGAATTAATGTTGGAGGCTCGAAAATAACTCCTTTCAATGACACCCTATGGAGGACTTGGATTCCTGATGATGATTATTTGGTGTTTAAGGAGGCAGCTAAGCGTGCAGCGAGCACTCATACACCAAATTATCAGAAGGGAGGTGCAAGTCCAGAGATCGCTCCTGATCATGTTTATATGACTGCCCAGGAGATGAATCGGGAAAACTCAAGCCTGGCTTCAAGGTTCAATATAACTTGGAAATTTCAGGTGGCTCCGGCTGGTGGTGGTGTTCGGCACTTGGTTCGGTTGCATTTCTGTGATATTGTTAGCTCTGCACTGAACTTGCTGTACTTTGATGTGTATCTTAATGGTTACTCTGCATACAAGGATCTTGATTTGTCTTCTCTTACCGTCCATGTTCTTGCATCTCCAATCTATGTCGATTTTGTTGTAGATTCTGATGATTCAGGCTTTATTGAAATAAGTGTTGGTCCTTCTGATCTGAACAGTTTGATGAGGATGAATGCCTTGTTGAATGGCGCAGAGATCATGAAGATGGTCAATGTTATGGATTCACATGTTGTTCAAAAGAGAAAAACGTTATGGGTAATGGTGGGCTCCCTTGTTGGAGGTGCTGCATTACTTTTGGTAGTGGTTGGCCTTCTTCTTGCTTTTAAGTGCAGGAAGAAGAAACATAAACGAAAGACGGCAGAAAGTGTAGGCTGGACGCCTTTACGAATGTTTGGTGGAAGCTCACTTAGTCGATTGTCTGAAGCTCTTGCATCTCCAGGTTCTCATGGATATTTAGGCCTGAAAGTCCCTTTTGCTGAAATACAAGCGGCAACAAACAATTTTGATAGAAGTCTGATTATAGGATCTGGTGGGTTTGGTATGGTTTACAAAGGGATGCTCAAAGATAATGTGAAGGTTGCTGTCAAGAGAGGAATGCCCGGGTCCAGACAGGGTCTTCCAGAGTTCCAGACTGAAATAGCAGTTCTATCCAAAATTCGCCATCGTCATCTTGTTTCACTTGTTGGTTTTTGCGAGGAAAATTCAGAGATGATACTTGTCTATGAGTATGTTGAAAAAGGACCTCTTAAAAAGCATCTGTATGGTTCAGGACTGCCTCCTTTGTCTTGGAAGCAGCGTCTCGAAATATGCATTGGTGCAGCTAGAGGTCTTCACTATCTTCACACTGGTTTTGCGCAAGGAATTATCCACCGTGACATTAAATCGACCAACATATTGCTTGATGAAAATTATGTGGCCAAGGTTGCTGATTTTGGTCTTTCAAGATCCGGTCCATGTCTCAATGAAACTCATGTGAGTACCGGCGTGAAAGGTAGTTTTGGTTATTTGGATCCTGAGTATTTCCGGAGGCAGCAGCTTACAGATAAATCAGATGTTTATTCATTTGGGGTTGTGCTTTTTGAAGTTCTTTGTGCCAGACCTGCTGTTGACCCACAACTTGCAAGGGAACAGGTGAATTTAGCAGAATGGGCACTTGAATGGCAGAAGAAGGGCATGCTGGAGCATATTGTCGATCCCCATATTGTCGGCCAGATCAAACCTGAATCCTTGAAGAAATTTGGCGAAACAGCAGAGAAATGTTTGGCTGACTATGGTGTTGACAGGCCAACTATGGGTGATGTATTGTGGAACTTGGAATACATACTTCAGATCCAAGAAAGTGGCCAACAAAGGGAACCAACGGCCAACTCAACAGCTACTGTTATCACTGGAACTCCTTCTGACAACATAAGAACATTGAGATATCATGATAATTGTAATTCAGATATAAGTACTAGTGAAGTTTTTTCCCAACTAATGAACAACGAAGGCAGATAGAGATACGTGCATTTGCTTGCCGCGCAATTGCCGCTTGATCTTGTAGAAATTTCACAAGGAGATGAAGAGGTATTAGTTTGAACCATTGCTCAGACTTTTTCTCTTGATTCTTGTCCTCTCATCAAGATTATAATTACCAAGATGTCATATATCATGTATTAGTTTCTTAACAAAGTCACGATATCTTTTTCTCTATTTATTGTATGGCCCTAAAGAGATGCTTCAAATTTTCACTTGCTTGTTTATACTACACAGCTGTTTTCTATTGTAGAGCTGAAGTTGTAAAAGATGTGATGAGGTATAGGTTCTGACTGATGCGCTTACAAGTGTATTATTTATGATACATGTACCTGCTATGTAGTTAAATTTTAAAATAGAATGCTATAGACGATCTTTTACTAACACATGTTCCTCCTTTTACCTGGAAAAAAAAAAAAGTATGTTACTGGTAAGCCTTGGGTGAACCTCAATACATCTGGGGATGATAAATAAACTAAACTCATTGGCGTGATCTTAAGTACCATTAAAGAAGCCTAAGGAGTAAGGACTACTAGTGGTTGTTATGCTTTCCTTTTCCCTCTTTCTCTTCTCATTTTGCATATGCTCAATAGATTCCAGACTGAGAAGCCCGTTTTTTTCCCGTCATTTTTTGGTATTCATGTTTGATTTTTTTCATCCCCTGTTTCCCATTTTATATCTTGCTTCAAAGTCAATGCATGCTTGTTTATTGACGGGGCATGTACTCTGAAATACTCATCAAGTTAACGAGTTATGTTTCCAGAATGCGTAAAGCTCTCAGCAATCTGATATTTGCTTTGACATCAAAAACAAATTTCATAATGTATGTGTTGCTGTTGGTATGTTTCTGCTAGTTTTGCGTCTAGTCTTGTAGATATTATTCTTTTTGCAGTGTCCTGATTAAGTTGTTGAAACTTGAAATACAAGTCTTGCCAGCTTCTTTACTGAGCAAAATACTCAAGCAGCTAAACCTCAGAAAGAATTCCATAATCTGTCCCAAAAATGGGCCACTTATTGGAAGAGAGTAAGAGTCATCTTAGAGTTGACACTCATCAAACAAGTATGGCAAATAATACCTGTGTTTTGTGCAACATGCATTGTAAAATGAGAATTCCCTAAAGTGAACTTGGTATAAAAGAAGGGGTTAAAGGACAAATTTGCTTTGGAAGTTTTTCTTCAAAGATGTTAGGTATCCTAAATTTTTTTATGGAGCGTTTTTGTCTTGAAACTTTCAAAAAGAGTGTTTTTTCACCCTATCATTAAATCTGCCGTTTGTTGACCATCAAAACTCAAGTTTGACTGTTAAAATGAAATTTGACCCAAAAAAAAAACAAAAGAAAAGAAAAGAAAAGAAATTGGACCAAAGGATGATAGGTGTTATCCACGTGTACCCATCTCTCATCCTTCTTCCTCCACACTATGTGCTTCATCTCTCACTTCACCCACCAGCGACCATTCTCCTCCACCCACAAACCTTTGCTGTCAACATTCTAGTAACAACGAAGAAGAAAATTCATCCAACTTTAGGCAACAACCCTGCTACTTTTTGCAGAAGTTATGAATTGAAATTGAATATTGAGGATGTCCAAATTTAAAAAGGTGAAGGTTTATTTTTGCCCTTAAATTATTTGAGGAGGAGCACCTTATAGTTTAAAGTCCTTTTGGTAACAATATTGCCCTTCAAGTAATTAAAATGTAACAATTTTGTTCCTGGGGTTAACTTGCATGACGTTGACTGTTATTTGACTAATTTTTGCCAACATATCAAGCCAAGTGTATCTGATCCGATTCTTTCAGTCTTTCTTCCATCTTCCTCTCTCCTATGCATATGAGTTTAGGCAACAAGCCTCCTTCCACCAATTCCCAACTCCTTCCATCCCTAACCCTTTAAGCCAAACCTTTTCTATTTGCATCATTTGCCTTTATGCAAAGCCAAATTCATAAATCCATTATATTTATATACATTGGAAGCAATAGTTACAAAACCATAAATCCAAACATTCCAACACATCGAAGCTTAATTGAATGGACTCTTTAGAAAATCGTCCGCGCCACGCTTAGCACTATGTCCAGTCTCATATTGAACAATGATATGCTAAATTCCTAAACTGGCCAGTGACTTTATGTCCCCACCCATGCAGTGGAGCGAACCATAAGCACCACACTTTGTAATTCAACTCAATAGCATCGAATAATTGGTTCAGCAAGCCTTCGTAGTAATCCACGTCATTCAAGTACTTAGGGGAAACGGAGATTAAGATAATCTTGGAGGATAGATCATGATAATCGAAGGGACTCTGTAAACCCAAAAAACAGGGTTGAAAAACTAGTGATGAACATGTCAAAGCAAATCCACAAGTAATCGAAAACTCACACCCCATTGCCATCTCAAAGGGCAAAAACAACCCATTTTTTATTTTCTTGGTAGCCACCATTAAATGGAAGTAGAGGATGTTATGAAACTCGATAATTCATGCTGGTTCGAGGTTTAAATATTGAAGGAAGCCCCAAGTTCATCAAAATCAACAAGTTCTGAAGCAAACTTAAAAGAATTTGATGGATCTGGGTTTTATAGCGCAGGGATAGAAAACCTTCTGATGAAACGAAGGAGGCGCTGAGTTGTCGATGCTACGCGCTTGCTCTCAATTTGAACATTTTGAAGAGCTATTCTCTTTTCGGCTATGCTTGTTCTTTTGCTATCAGCGACAATCTTTATCTATTTTCCCCATGGGATAGCCTCCTTCTATCATCGGTGCTCATCGGAGCTGAATCCTTATGAAACTTCTAATTTGCATTCTTGTCTTGACAACAAGGAGGAGGGCTCGAACATGGATCATTAACTTGTCGATAACTCAACTGGAAAAGGTGCTCCCTTTGCGCTAGTGCTTTAAAGCAAGAACCTCACACATCTCAAGCTTCTTTATGCTAGTATTTCATATTGATCACATAAGCATTTATCAAACCAAGTCACTACCACGTGTTTCAGAAACTGGGTCTCTATTAACCTTGATTAACAAACGTTTATGAAGATTTAACGTTGGGGGCAAAATTGCTTTGTTTTAATTACTTAAAGGGCAATTTGGCTACAACAAGCACTTTAGGCCACTGAGTACTCCTGCCCAAATATTTTAAAGGTAAAAATAAACCTTTACCCAAATAAAAACTCCGTCAGTGTTTAGATCACTTTTCAAAATCCTGATACTACCTTTGACAAAAACCAAAGGCAAAGAGAGCTCCCACAATTGATTAAACCCATTTTTGTTAGAGCCACGCTTGCTTGATTTACGATGGATTCGTTTGTCGATTCAAAATGAAGAACAAGAACAAGAAAGAACATTTCCAGATTCAAAATGAACAAGAACAAGAACATTTATAGATTTTTTTTCCTAGAAAATGCCATGAAAACTTGAACAACTTTTCTAGCTTTGCATATTAAAAACAAATTTTCTCACTAATTTCAAAATAATCTAGATCCATGGTCGAAATTGCATCTTCTCCCAGGGAGCTTTTTGTTTATCATAGGTCGAGGTCAAGGAGGTTGAAGATGGTAGTTTGATGTCATTACCGTCCTCATCAGTTCGCCGTCTCTTCCTTATCATCACACCAACCACAGGAATCAAGCACTCAAGCCTTTATCAATTCATCATCTCTCCTCCATCGGAACACATTCAGGGCTAATCAAGCTTTTCCGACGAGAATCCATTACTCTCAGCTATAGTTCCTGTAATTTTTTTGGCACAAGAAAATGGGAAAGGTTTCTTGCAATTTCTCCTGTATGGTTCCTGTGAGAACCCAATGTAGAGAAGGAGCTAGCATTGCCAAGTTGATAACTTAATCTCACTTGATGTTGGTGTTGGTGATGGAAGTGGGTAATGATGGACGTGGAAGCTAGCGATGAAGGCCAAAGAGGAAGAGGAAACTGCGTCTTGGACTGATCGGGACGAACAAAGTAGGTTTAGTTTTGATTACTTTTTATTAATAAATTGTCCAACACAGCATGCCATGTGTGGTCAAACTTTCCTATTAACAGTCAAATTTAAGTTTTAATGGTCAACCGGTGGAGGATTTGGGGAAAAGACACTCTTTTTTGAATGTTTTAAGGCTTAAATGTTGCATCAAAAGATTTAAAATATAAACCCAACGCTTTTGAAGAAAAAGTTTTAAAAAAAACTTGTCCTTTAATCCAAAAAAAAAATAAAATTGACATCCAATGCTTCAAAGATTATTTTGGCTATTAATATTTTGTTTGCAATCTAATTCGACGTAAAAATGGGCCGTTTGAAACTGCAATCACTCTCTTTCTTACATTTCTGAATTTATCATTAGAGATGTAATTCAGGATTGTGTGAAAATCTTCTGACTTAAAAACTCATGCTTGGCTAAAGGTCCAAGCCTCTTTAATACCAGAATTCTTTTTGAAGAGCAGAAGAAGGACCGCCTGAATATAAAGAGGAGATTCTTCAGAGACAAGAGACATGAAGTGCAAGTATTGGCTACCCCAACTTCTTTGGCGTTCATATCGGCGTTCGGCATTCAAATTTGAATCATTATTTTTAAATATATATTCCAATTTTTTCAGAATAAATTATTATTTTTAAATTGGTAGGCATGATTTGATCCTTTTTTAAAAAAATAAATACATCAAGATAAACTTCATGAATTGTGACTTTTTTATTTTTTTATTTTGGCTTCTGTCATTTTTTTATATTATTAAAAACGACTTGTTTGGGGGGATAAAAGTGCTACTTCGGGAGATTATACATAGGAAAAATATCATTCAAGAAGCGGTGATGGTATTTAATATCAATCAAAATTTAAAAAAAATTTTAATATCACTACAAGATTGAAAGAGTGATTTAAAAATAATTTTATATGAAAAAAGGCTATAATGTGCCTGTCTTTTTATTTTTAATTGATGAGTAGTCACTCATAAATTAGCAAATATTCATTCACATTTAACAAGAAACCATGCACTAATTGACAAGTTCACGAATATGAAAGAATTTGATTGTATAAAAGGGTAATTGTAAATCATATTTTAACAAGTAACTATTTGTTAATTAACAAGTATCCATTCATATTTAACAAAAAATTATTTGCTAATTAACAAGTTTAATAATTTGAAAGAACTTAGTTGTGAGAAGGGACAAATGTAGGTTATGTTTTAATAAGTAGCCATTTGTTAATTAACAACCATTCATTTGCATTTAACAAGAAGCTATTCATTAAATGACAAGTTCAAAAATTTGAAA